GAAGACCCATCAGCAGGCGGCTGACATTCTCACCAAGCGCCTGGCTGAATCTGAGCATTGGAAGGGCATGAAACTTGCTGGGATGAGTGTGCATTGAGGGTGCATGCTTGAGCTATGGCATGTGGGATGATGGTAGGCAGCCAGAGGGGGAGTTTGTTATGTGATGCTATCACTTGCATTCACGTCTGTCTGCCTCCCATCACATGTTCGTGCGTTGCATGCGTGGTGTGAGCGTGTGCAAGAATTTGTGTTTGATGTGGTTTGGTTTTTCTGAGTGTGTGTGTGAATGTTATTTGGCTTGAGTAGATATCTGAAGTGACTCCTCTGCTCAAGAGCTTTCCGACGAACCAAGTATCGCTTCAATCGGAGCACGAACAAGAAAGTTACGAACGTTGGAAGTTCGTATGCTTTTGATATTTGGTTGTGGTGACTACGGGAAGTTGTGGGGTTGACTCCATAAGGGGTATAGACTTTTGGGGGTTGGGAAATTCGTCAACATCACTGTAGATGCTGCCAAGTGGTTGGGAGGAGCCAAACCAGGTTGGCAAGTGTGGCCAAGTTGGGTAAGGTGGATGGCATGGGTTGGGAAAGTGACAAAAGTATGTGCTTATGGGGTTTCCCTGGTTGGGGACTCCTTGGGGACCTCCCCTTTCGTCCTCCTCTTCCCCTCCTACCTTTTTTCTAGCTACTCCAACTTTCTTGTGTGGAAATTGTGAGACTCTTGTGATTGAGTTAAGATACTATGGCAGCATACCCCCCTGTGCGCCGAAATTGATATGTCGAGTTATACTTCACCTCTTGATACGATTCAACTTGGGAATTGTAGCTACGCTCTAGAGCTACAACATATCCAAAATTGGTGAAGTTTTAACGGTGCGTTTTCCGTCGACGGCGTTTCTTGTGAGCGCGACGTTTCTGTCCAGAATTCTAAGCCAACGATTTTGAGATATTTAGGCACCTAATCTTCGTAGACTCCGTCCTTAGTCTCTAACAGATCGTTCGGCGAGGCAGTCCTGGTGGTGGAGGGTACGGTCCTGCTGGTGCTGGAGCTACTAGTCCTGGAGGTACTGATGGTGCTGGAGGTGCTGGAGGTGCTGGAGGTACTGCTGGAGGTGCTGGAGGTGCTGCTGGTGCTGGAGGTACTAGAGGTGCTGCTGGTGCTGGAGGTACTGGAGCTGCTAGTCCTGGAGGTAGGAGGTGCTACTGGTGCTGGAGGTACTGGATCTGCTGCTGGTGCTGGAGGTACTGGAGCTGCGATTGCTGGAGGTGCTGCTGGTGCTGGAGGTGCTAGAGGTACTGGAGGTGCTGGAGGTGCTGCTGGTGCTGGAGGTACTGGAGCTGCAAGTGCTGGAGGTGCTGCTGGTGCTGGAGGTGCTGGAGGTGCTGGAGCTGCTAGTGCTGGAGGTGCTGCTGGTGCTGGAGGTGCTAGAGCTACCACTGCTGGAGGTGCTGGAGCTGGACAGCCACTGCAGCCTGATATACTTGAGACGCTCTCGCCGCAGGCGATTCGTGCGTGGATCGTTCGGCGAGGCAGTCCTGGTGGTGGAGGGTATGGTCCTGCTGGTGCTGGAGCTACTAGTCCTAGAGGTACTGCTGATGCTGGAGGTGCTGGAGGTAGTGCTGGAGGTGCTGGAGGTGCTGCTGGTGCTGGAGGTACTGGAGCTGCTAGTCCTGGAGGTACTGGAGGTGCTGCTGGTGCTAGAGGTACTGGAGCTGCTGCTGGTGCTGGAGGTACTGGAGCTGCTAGTGCTGGAGGTGCTGGTGGTGCTGGAGGTGCTGGAGGTACTGGAGGTGCTGGAGGTGCTGCTGGTGCTGGAGGTACTGGAGCTGCTAGTGCTGGAGGTACTACTGGTGCTGGAGGTGCTGGAGCTGCTAGTGCTGGAGGTACTGCTGGTGCTGGAGGTGCTGGAGCTACCACTGCTGGAGGTGCAGGAGCTGCTAGTGCTGGAGGTACTGCTGGTACTGGAGGTGCTAAACCTGCTGGTGTGCTTCGCCACCTTCTCGGTCTTCCGCCAGCTCCTACTGAGTTCCCAGTCGCTGGTACTACTCCTCCGTTACTGTTCCCACAGCTACTGCCTCACGCCCCACTTCTTGCTCCTGCTCCTTACACTGCTGTGACAGAGTCCCTGACTGAGCGTCAAGAGCATGAGACGCGTGCTTCCACTCCTGAGCGTCGAGAGCCTGAGACTAGAGCTTCCGTTCCTGCTCGTGTTCGTCGTGTGCGTCGTCCTCGTGCTCCGGCTGTCCCAGGCACTCACGATATGACACTCCGTCCTTCCTCTGTTCCACAGCGTGTTGTCCTACCGTCACCTCCTGCGTCTTCTCTTCCTGACGTTGCTGACCCTTCATCTGTCCTTGCTCGTGCTTCCAGTCCGACTGTCACTCGCTTGCTAGCAACAGTTGTGACGGACCCTACGTTCTCGTCTCCTGCTGCGTCTGCCTTAGTCGCTGAGCTAGTTGACTTTGCTGCTGCGCACCGCCTAGACTACCTTGCGAGTCTTGTTTCTGACTCTGACCCTGCCTGTCCTCCGTCCGTCGGGGGTGAGGTTGCCCTTGGCTGTGACGTTCTTGAGGACAGACAGGAGGAGCTGGAGTGTCTTGCGGCCGCTACACCTCATCTCGCGACCATGCTGCTTGCCCCTGAGGGAGACCCGGATGCACTTGACATCCCCACCCCGCGCTCTTACAGAGAGGCGATCTCGGGTGAGTACTCCTTTCAGTGGCAGACAGCCATGGACGCAGAGATGGCTTCCTGGAAGTCCACAGGCACCTACGTCGACGAGGTTCCCCCACCTGGGGCGAACATCCTCAGTGGCATGTGGATTTTCAGGGTGAAGCGGCCGCCGGGTTCTCCGCCTGCCTTCAAGGCACGTTACGTTGCTCGAGGCTTCAGTCAGCGTGAGGTTGTCGACTTCCTTCAGACCTTCTCACCCACCCCGAAGATGACCACTCTTCGGGTGTTGCTACACGTTGCAACTCAGCGTGACTACGAGTTGCACTCCCTCGACTTCTCGACAGCTTTCTTGCAGGGTAGCCTTCACGAGGCCATCTGGCTACGCCGTCCACCTGGCTTCACTGGGTCGTTTCCTGAGGGTACCCAGTGGAGCCTACGGTGACCAGTGTACGGCCTCCGTCAGGCACCTCGCTAGTGGCACGACACACTGAGGACGACACTTGCGGCTCTTGGGTTTGCTCCTTCGACTGCTGACCCGTCGCTGTTTCTGCGCACCGGCACTACCTTGCCGCCGTTCTACGTTCTTGTGTACGTCGACGACTTGGTCTTTGCTACTGCTGACACAGAGGCGCTGGCCCTAGTGAAGGCCGAGCTGCAGGAGAGACACACCTGCACTGACCTGGGTGAGCTGCGGAGCTATCTTGGCTTGCAGATCACCCGGGACAGAGCACGGCGCACCATCACCCTGACTCAGTCACACATGGTGCACCAGGTCCTCCAGCGCTTTGGCTTCCAGTACTCCTCACCACAGCCCACTCCTCTGTCTACCGGTCACTCGCTCTCAGCTCCACCTTCGGACGAGTCCGTAGAGCCGAGTGGTCCGTACCCAGAGCTTGTGGGTTGCCTCATGTACCTGATGACGTGCACACGACCTGACCTCGCGTTCCCTCTCAGCCTCCTGGCTTGCTACGTGGCACCTGGTAGACACTGAAAGGTGCACTTTGATGTTGCGAAGAGGGTACTGCGTTACTTGTGCAGTACATCGGGCATGGGGCTCGTGCTTGGAGGACGGGGTTCAGTTGTCCTCACAGGACACTCTGACGCTTCTTGGGCCGACGACCAGGCGACTCAGCGTTTGTCACAGGGTTACACCTTCAGTCTTGGCTCTGGTTCTGGCTCCAGCTGCGAGGCCAAGATCTACGCTGGGGCCATGGCTGCACAGGAGCTACGCTGGCTGACCTACCTGCTGACCGAATTGGGGGAGCGGCCTCGTTCTCCTCCAGTTCTGTACGTCGACAACAAGGCAATGCTTGCCTTGTGTCGCGAGCAGAGACTGGAGCACAGAACGAAGCACATTGCTCTTCGCTACTTCCTTGCGCGTGAGCTGCAGCAGCGTGGTCAGCTGCGCCTTGCTTACGTGGCCTCTGGGGCCAACATTGGTGATGTGTTCACCAAGGCCCTTGGGTCTGGTGATCATCAGCGTTTCTGCACTGCTCTTGGGCTTGTGCCCACTCTGCCTCACCTGCTGGTTGCTTGACTTGCTCTTGTTGTACACTGATATATATCTTTATACCTGCTTGTAAACTCTTGCTAGGTTGTGATCAGTGTACTGCCTTGCTATTATAACTCTGCATGTGAACTGGCCTTGTGGCCGCTTGCTTGTGCTCAGATTGTGTGGTGTCCTTGAGATCCACCCTGAGCTTTGCTTTGCTTGTTCTCTTGCTTAACTGGTCTTGTGACCGTCTGTTGTGTTTGCTATCTCTCACTTAGCCTATGGGGGTGTGTCAAACTATATGTTTGTGTTCTCTCTAAGCTATAGTGGGTTAGCCTACAAGGGGTACAACACTTTAGGGTTAGTACTTGTACCCCAACTCATTCATAGTTCATTCATTCCTGTTTTCCTATCTCAACAGCGGCGCGGCCAGGCACGCGTGATACCTATGGCCTCAGAGGCCGACACTGCTGATATCTTCACCAAGGCACTTTAGCCTCGTGATCATCAGCGGTTCTACGCACAGCACGGCATAGTTACAGGAGGTCATCATTTGCTAGTTTCGTGATCCTTGTTGCTTGCCTTGTATGTAACTGTGCATTTACACTTTGTGAACTCATTGATTGTCCTTGTGTCCAGAGGAGAGGACTAGTAGTGCCGCCCTGGTGTTTCTTTTTCTTGTTATTTAGTGACTGCCTCCTACCTAGTTTAGGGGGTGTGTCATAGTATATGTTTAGATGTGTTTTTATAGGCTATGTAGGATTAGCTTTTGTACTAGTACCCCTCTGTACTCTTTCACTTGTCAATGATTCTCTTTCCCGACACCTAGACACTCTAGACATGGGGGTACGGTGCAGCAGCATGCAGAGGCGACTGATGGAGGCAGGAGGCATAGGGTATGGGATGGAGGGATGGAGGGGATGGGAGGGAGGCTGGGTCTAAGCTTGGGTGGTGATGGTGGGGCGGATGGGGAGGAAGGTGCAGAGGGGGATGTGCTGGTGGTGAGGGAGGATGCAGGCGAGGGAGAGGAGGAGGGGGGGCAGGAGTGAGGGAAGGGTGGGAGAAGATGGTGGAGAGAAGAGACGTTTGGAAGTTGGGACTGGTGGTGGAGAGCAGATGTGGATGTGGAGCAAACCATGGGATGAGAGTCACTAAGGCAGCATAGCCACAGCACACCCTCAACGGCAGGGTATGAAACCAGACTGCCTGTATGCAGAACCTTGAAGCATCTTGTTTGTTCTGTACGCCTATGATTGAAGACATTTGTGTCGACACATGAATGTACCCTTATTCCATTACTCAATGACATGTCAATTCAGTATGATGTGATATCCTCTGTGAGAAGTTGCTAAGCAGTGTTACTCATTTTGCCAGTACCTGAGAGAAGCAGAGCTATGATTATCAAACTGATGGTGCTTGAGCAAGGCAGTGTCTGCCCCTGCAAGGATGGGCATGAGCGCACATGCTCATGCAAGTGCGCGTGCAGGCTGCAGCATCTGTGTATATGTGAGGGTGAGTCTGTACGCACAGAGTGAATTCATACTTTCATTAGCATTGCAAGAGCAGTGTGAAACAAAGCAAGCATTGCACAAGGGCTTGATTATTCTGATCCTCGGGTCACCAAAAGCACTGCCTAGTGTAGCACCCTTCACTCCCTCCCCTAGCGCACCCCAAGAATCTTTATTCGCTGCTCTTTCCACCGGTACCACTTTCTCTAAACTCCAGCCCTGTCTGACTCTGACCCCGACATTCCCTAGGGTAGGAATCAAGTTGATCCGGCCGACTGGACCCGTTACTTCCTGGAGAACTGGCCACGCACGGCACCATCAGGGTACTTCTTGGTGTGGATGTTCCCATAGTGCGCGTTGGGGTGCTTAAAGATCTTGGTGAAAATCGCCACCTCTGCTTTCGTGAGCCACTCAGTATCCCACATGGCGCCCTCTCACAGCCACTCGGAGGCGCCAGTCTTCTTGTACTTGCACGGCAGCTCCAGCAGCACGGGGTTGTTCTCGCCCTTCCTCCCCGGGTGGATGTGCGTCTTGGTGGGCGGCATCTCGCCCTCCAGCTTTGAAGCTTTCACCGAGTACTCCACCCACATCAGGTTGCCCTCCTTCCTGACCACACGTGGCAGTCGCAGCAGGGGTGGCAAGAGAATGAAAAGAAGGATTTAGAATCCACTGCTGTGCATCGCAGGATAGAGCGGCAGAGAGTGGCAGGGGATGAAGCCCATGTGTTTTTGGCATTGAGATTGCAAAGAAAACGTGCTGGGAGAAATGTACGCATGGGCTGGGCTCAGGTGTCTCAGATGCAATGCAGGCGACGCAAGGCGTGGCGTGGCGAGCTTACTTGTAGAAGTCGAGCTTCATTTGCACCACGCCTCTCTTGTCACCCACGGCCTTCCTGGCAGCTTCGGAGTCATTCTTGGGAACCTCGTTGGCGCCAATCAGCTTCGCCGTGAAGGTGTCTGTTGGGGTGAGGTGAGAGCGAGAGAGAGAGAGGGTGATGTAACTACATGTGGGTGGAGATCCGGAAAGAGGAGAAAGGGTGGGCTGGTGTCTACGTGGGGGAAAGAGAGGGAATGCAGGAGGTGAGAAGGGAAGCTTCGAAGGCACTCTATAGGAGGTAAAAACGATGGCCGGAAGGGAAAAGTGTGACGCACTGACCAGTTAAATCCGCCACCTCGCCGGAGTAGGCAACCGCCACGAGCACCGTGAAGAACGCTGCAAGCACGAAACGCATGGGAGGGAAACGCAGGCGATGGAATCACATGCGATGGAAACACGCTATCAGGTTACCATGCCGCGGAAGTGCGATTTATCAAAGCGATTTTTCGCCATAACAGCACACGTAGGTGTCATAATAACCACATAAAATCAGGAATCTCTGAAGGTACTGCCAGTGCACAGCAATGGGTCAGCAGGCAGCCAGCAAGCAGCGAGTTCGGCGCGGACTGGTGCTACAGTTGCGCGGGTGTGTACGACCATTGGTAGTAGTAACGCTTACCTAGGAATAAGACGCGGTGGGCCGGAGTGAAGGCCATGATTCGGAAGCGAGTCCAGAAGCTGGGGTTGCAAGAAGAAGCGGGTGGTTGCTTGAAGAGTGGAAGGCGGATTGCCGCTGGATGGATTTCTAGGGACTCGAAGCACCCACTTTATAGTCCCATGGAGAGCCTGGACTACGGACTCTATTGGGAACGGGGACGGGCGCGTTGTCATGGTTTGCCGGTGTGGACCGTGAGCAGGAGTGACGGCCGTCACTCGTCTGACGGCGGTGCAGGCGTGGTGAGCAGGAGTGACGGGTGCGACTCGCATGACGGTGCAGCGAGGCGGGATTTCGACTCGGAGGTGCGCCATGCTCGTCTCGTATAATCGCGAGAGAACCCGACGAGAAACGCCGATGGCGTGAAGTTGAGAGTGCCGTCGCTTCAGCGAGATTCAGACATTATTGTTAGTTACCGGGTTCCTAGCCACAATAATTGCAGCACTTGGTGAGGGGAAAGGCGAGGAGTCGAGTGCGATTCTCATCGCGACTCTTTATCAGGTCGACTCGACTAAACATCGAGATATATCATATACATCTTGGTTACATACGCCATCTGATCAGACCATGTTAGTATAAAACCTACAGCATTATATAAGCATACTCCCTTAAAGAAACATGTTTTAAGTTAGGTGCACTTGCACTTATATCCGGGGTATGGCGGTGTTTCTTTTTCATGTCCCACATGTGTATTTTGACATACACAACACATGCCCTATACAATCCAACATAGGTATGTGTCAAATGTTATTATTTGTTATAGGCTGCAGTGAGGTGCTCCTTAGTGAGTACAACTCAGTTAGGGTCTCATATTTGTACTGCCTTGCTTTCCTAGTCACACCATTCCGTTGCATTCAGTTTCTGAGATGGTATCACGAGTAGGTTAGAATCATTTCCTAGCGCGCCTCCGCGCTCTACGCGCCCTCCGTCACGCGCCCTAGCGCCCTCCGCGCCCTAGCGCGCCTCCGCGCCTCACGCGCCCTCCATCACACACTCAAGCGCCCTCCACGCCCTAGCGCCCTCCGCGCCCTAGCGCACCTCCGCACCTAGCCCGCGCCCTCCCGCGCCGTCCGCGCCTAGCCCGCGCCCGAGCGCCGTCCGTGCCTAGCCCGCGCCCGAGCGCCGTCCCCGCCTAGCCCGCGCCCGAGCGCCGTCCGCGCCTAGCCCGCGCCCGAGCCTCGCGCCCTCGCCTTAGCCCGCGCCTCGCGCCTTAGCTCGCGCCTTAGCCCGCGCCCGAGCGCCGTCCGCGCCTAGCCCGCGCCCGAGCCTCGCGCCCTCGCCTTAGCCCGCGCCTCACGCCTTAGCCCGCGCCTTAGCCCGCGCCCGAGCGCCGCCCGCGCCTCGCGCCCTCCGCACTTAGCCCCGCCCTCCACGCCTAGCCCGCGCCCTCGCCTTAGCCCGCGCCCTCGCCTTAGCTCGTGCCCTCACCTTAGCCCGCGCCCTACCGACGCCCTCACCAAAGGCCGCGCCCGGCCCACGTGCCACCTCCTCCTAACGCCCCAACCGCCCCTCCTCACCTAGCCAGCGCGCCCTCCTAACTCGCGCCCTCACCCAAACCGCACTAGGCGCGTGGTTCCTTCCCCCCTCCACCGCCCTGTTCCCCGGGCTCAAACCGTTCCTACTGCTATTGGCTTTCCGCTCAGCGGCTGGCAGCCGCTTCTCTCTCCGGTCACTCGATTTCGACCCGGGTAGCACCTAGCTCCTAGCCTCTAGCCCATAGCCCGGTTTCCTCCGTACCTTTCGCCTAGTCTCCACTGGCGCTCCTAGGACTCCTAGTTTCACCTCCTGCGTCGCTAGCTGTTCTCCCTCCTCGCTCCTAGCTCCGCCTGCTCCGTACTCCAGCCGCCGTTAGCCTAGCCTCCACTATGGACTCCTCCCGCCGCCTTCGCTTCAATGCGGAGGGACGACCGATAGAGTTCGCCAGACTCAGCGCTACCTCACCAGTCAGCGCCAGAACGGCGCCACCTTGTACGCCCACGCGTCCGGCGCCCTCCAGGCACCCCGGCGACCCGAGCCCCTACCTGCCGAGCCCCCCCCGACTTCGGAGGCGCAGGCGGACTACGATCGTCTCGTCTTGGCGCGGGACGTTTGGGACTCCCGTGACGCTGCGGCTGCACTCGCGCTGACAGAGCTCCTTCCACCGACTGAGGCCGCTCACTTCGACCTGGTAGAGACTGCGAAGGGGGTTTATGATGCTAATTCTGCACGCTATTCCACCCCTTCCTCTGCCTCCCTCAGCCGCATCCTCATGACGTTCGTGTTTCCCGGCCTCAGCTCGTTTGCGACTGTCTACAACCTAGCCACTCACTTGCGTTCCCTTGTCGCTAGCTACCGTGCAGCGTGCACTGAGGCTCAGCTTCTTGTTGCTCCCCCTCCTATCTGGCTCATCGTCCACTGGGTAGTCACTCGTCTCCCTGACAGCGCTCTTACGCAGAGGCGATAGAGGGTCCCTACTCCTCTCAGTGGCAGACATCCATGGACGCAGAGATGGCTTCCTGGAAGTCCACAGGCACTTACGTCGACGAGGTTCCCCCACCTGGGGCGAACATCGTCAGTGGCATGTGGATTTTCAGGGTGAAGCGGCCGCCGGGTTCTCCGTTTGTCTTCAAGTGCGTTACGTTGCTCGAGGCTTCAGTCAGCGACAGGGAGTTGACTTCGTCTAGACCTTCTCCCCTACCCCGAAGATGACCACTCTTCGGGTGCTGCTGCACGTCGCCGCTCAGCGTGACTACGAGCTTCACTCTCTTGACTTCAGCACAGCCTTCCTACAGGGCAGCCTGCACGAGGAGATTTGGCTGCGCCACCCACCTGGCTTCACTTGGTCGGCCAGTCTACGGTCTCCGCCAGGCGCCTCGCGAGTGGCACGACACACTGAGGACGACGCTTGCTGCTCTTGGGTTTGCTCCTTCGACTGCAGACCCGTCGCTGTTTCTACGCACCAACACTTCGCTGCCGCCGTTCTACATCCTCGTGTACGTCGACGATTTGGTCTTTGCCACTACTGACACTGCTGGACTAGCCTTTGTGAAGTCGGAGCTGCAGTAGAGACACACGTGCACAGACCTGGGTGAGCTGCGCAGCTATCTTGGCTTGCAGATCACCCGGGACAGAGCACAGCGCACCATTACCTTCAGCGCTTCGGCTTCACGTTCTCCTCGCCACAGTCCACTCCTCTGCCTACCGGTCACTTGCTCTCAGCTCTGCCTTCGGATGAGTCCGTAGAGCCGAGTGGCCCGTATCCAGAGCTTGTGGGCTGCCTCATGTACCTGATGACCTGCACTCGACCTGACCTTGCCTACCCTCTTAGCATCCTGGCACGCTACGTTGCGCTCGGGAGACACCGACCAGAGCACTGGGAGGGTTTAGGGTAGTACGTCCTTGTGCACCAGGCCGCTAAGAGGGTGTTGCGCTACTTGTGCAGTACGTCGGGCATGGGGCTCGTGTTTGGAGGACGGGCTCGAGTTGTCCTCACTGGCCACGCAGACGCTTCTTGGGTTGACGACTTGGCTACGCAGCGGTCGTCACAGGGTTACACTTTCAGCCTTGGCTCCGGCTCTGTTTCGTGGCGGTCGACCTGCTCGTCTTCTGTTCTCAGTTCCAGTTGTGAGGCTGAGATCTACGCAGGGGCCATGGCTGCACAGGAGTTACGCTGCCTCACCTACCCATCTTGCTGCTAGTTCATTCATTCTCGTTCTTACTTCTGACAGCTCGGGGGGGGTTAGGAGGGCATGGGAGGGAGGGTGGGTGCAATCTTTGGTGATGATGCTGGGGCGAGTGGGGATGAAGGTGCAGAGGGGGGTGTGCTGGTGGCGAGGGAGGATGCACGGGAGTGTCAAAATATAATACGTGTTGTAGGCTGTAGTGAGGTGCCTTCTAGGGGGTACAGTTTCTAGGTTTGCACATTTGTACCCCATCCCTTTCTAATCTACACATTCCGTTGCTAGCTACTCTTAAGATGGTATCACGAGTAGGTTCATTCTTGCCCGTTCCTAGCCTAGCGCGCACCCGCGCCTCCGCGCCTCTGCGCCCTCCCCTAGTGCACCCTCCGCGCCCTCCGCGCCTAGCTCGCGCCTCCGCGCCTCCGCGCCCTCCCCTAGTGCACCCGCGCCCTCCGCGCCTAGCTCGCGCCTCCGCGCCCTTCATGCCTCCGCACCTAACCCGCGCCACTGCACCCTCCGCGCCTCCGCACCCTCCGCGCCTAGCCCGCGCTCTAGCCTAGCGAGCGCCCTACCCCAGCCCGTCACGCGCCCTTGCCAGCCCAGCAGCGCGCGCCCTGCCCCAGCCCGTCACGTCGCCCGTGCGCCCTGCCCCTAGGTCGCGCGTAGCCCGTACGCCCTGCCCCAGCCCGTCGCGTCGTTCGTGCGCCCTGCCCCTAGGTCGCGCGTAGCCCGTACGCCCTGCCCCAGCCCGTCGCGTCACCCGTGCGCCCTGCCCCTAGCCCGCGCATAGCCCGTGCGCCCTGCCCCTAGCCCGGGCGTAGCCCGTGCGCCCTGCCCGTCGCCCACGCGCTGCCCGTACGCCCGGCCCCTAGCCCGCGCGTAGCCCGTGCGCCCTGCCCGTCGCCCAAGCGCGGCCCGTACGCCCTGCCCCTATCCCGCGCGTAGCCCGTGCGCCCTGCCTGTAGCCCGCGCGCCCCTGGTCCGCCCCCCCCCCCCGCACGCCCTTACCCACCCCTGCCGTGCACACCTCGTCCTACCCCGAACGCCCGTAGCCCGAGGCGCCCCGAGCCACACCTTCGTTTAGGGTTTCCTCGGATTTCCCCTCCAGTTTTGTTGGCTCGACACTCTCGTCACTCCTACCCACAGTGTTTCGCACCGTCACGGCTGGAGGCTGTTCCACCTAGCTGTTTAGGCTAGTAATGACGTTCGTTGTTAGCTAGGTCTCTCCTCGCTCCGCCAGCCCCTCGAACGACTCTCCGGCTCCTCAATCGGCTCGTCAGCACTGCCTCCTCCAGCCATCTGCTCCTAGCTCAGCTAGCTCCCAGCTCCGTTCGTTACTAGA